GGGAGGGACAAGAGAGGGAGGTGCGGGCGAGGGAGGGCGAGAGGGGTGGACGGGGGGTAGAGGGAGAGAGGCGGGGGGAGAGGGACCCGGCCAGGCAGAGGGGAGCGGGAGAGGCGGTTCGGGGAGTACAGAGGCAGGACATGGAGGGGGCTCGACTGAGGGCAGAGGGAGAGGTGCGAAGGCCGACAGACAGGGGAAGAGCGGAGGCCGACATTGTCAGAGGGGCCAATGGCCCGGGTGGAGAGCGGCAGATAATAGAGAGAGCGGGAGAGATGCTGAGGTGGGAGCGAGAGGGGGCACGAAGGAGATATGACAGAGGGGCAGATTGGGAAGCAGGGAGGGAAAGAGCGGAGGCAGACAGAGTCAGAGCAGTCGGTGGCCAGGGTAGAGAGCGGCAGATAAGAGAGAGACCGGAATATATGCTAAGGTGGGAGAGAGAGCGGCGTGGAAGGAGGAGAGAGAGAGAGGTGGACGGAAGAGGTGAGAGAGAGGTGGCACGCAGGGGCGTGGAGGGGGCTGGAAGGTTAAGAGGCGGCAGAGAGGTAGAAGTGGCGATCGAGAGGGTTAGGCAATTCTTGGACAGAGCGTGGAGAGTGGCGGAGCCCGGGAGGGGTCGAGACTGGAGGGCGGAGGGGGAGGTGGTCGCGAGAGACAGAGGAGTCGCGGAGAGAGACAGACGGCAAAGAGAGATGGGGGAGGGGGGCGGGAGGAGAGAAGGGGGAGAGGGGGGAGGGAGGGGACGGTTAATGCAAATGCTGCGGCATATGGCGAGAGAGAACCGCTTGGTGGGAGTGGTGGATAGGGTGCTGGGTATTGGGAACGGGGGGCGAAGGTGGGTGGACAGAGGGGGAGGGAGAGAGAGCGCCAAGAGCCCGGCTTGTCGTTGCATCGATGACCGCTGATAGATGATGTTTGCAGGGGGGGGGAGGAGAGAGCGAGCGGCACAGCGATTCGGGCTACACTGCACTAGCAACACGGCAGAGACCCCAGTTTGATTCCCGCTCCTGGCCAACAACGATGGTGATGATTGTCTGAACCGGTCCTGGGCCACCACCCTCCTCTAAGCGCCGACTCGGTTTCAAATGACCAGCGGTGTGTTTATGGACACGATTTGGAATTCAAACGAACGGTTGTTTGGGTTGCATTGTGTTCATTAAAGTTGCTTGCAATTCAAATACAGGTGTGTGCTGTTAATAATAATAATAGTACAATTTGTAACGCGCACAAATTTGCAGACGTAGTGGCCGCAACTCAGAGGCGCGGAGCCAAGCTCAGGGTCGCTCAAAAGCACGTGATTGTAGAGGTGAGTTTTTAAGTGTCTCTTGAAGGAGGCGATTGAGGTGATGCTGCGAATGTGCAGAGGAATGATATCGTTCCAGACTGTTGGGGCTGCCACCGAGAAGCGGCGCGTAGACACGGTGACCATCCTGGATCTTGGTATCGAGAGGAGGTCGTGAGTCGCGCTGCGCAGGCATCTGCCGTGTGCCGAGCTGCAAGTTGTCAATAATGAAGAAAGATGGTTGTGATGGCAGACGATACAATTGTGGTGAGCAAGGCCTGAATCCTTACCCTGAGAGTGGCCACGTGGGGGAGAGGCTGCCACTCTGTACAGAGCTGGAGCGGTACCACCTGGATCTCTGTGGCATTCAGGAGATCCAGTGGACCGGCTCTGGACTCCAATCATCATGAGGGGTGCAGAGTCCTCCACTCGGGACAGGAGACTGCCAAACAACAAGAAGCGGCTCTTATTCTGAACAAAATAATGAACGGGGGCGTGGGAAGGTGGCGGCGAGGTGTTGGAAGCTGTAAGCCCCAGGCTACTTTGGGCTCGACTCCCCATCAACAGGAGGCAGGAAATGGTGGTGGTGGTGTTGGCTGCTTACGCCCCCAACCGAAGATGAACATCAGTGGAGGGATGCAAGCAAGCCCGAGGATTCAGATTCCTTCTATAACCTCCTGTCACAGGTGTTAGCTAAAAGTGGCCCCTCGGGATAGAGTCATCCTGTTGGGTAACTTCAATGCCCGAGTTGCTCATGATGCTGGCACCTGGTCTGGAGTGATTGGAAGGCATGGGCCGGATCAACTCAATACCAACGGTAGCAGGCCGTTAGACTTCTGCGCAGCCTATGGGCTTGTAATTGCCAACATGCTGTTCTGGCATCTGTGCATCCAGACAACATCGTGGATTCACGCCGGCTCCAAGCAAGAACATCTGTTGGACTATAGCAATGAAGCAGTGAATGCAGGCCTGTGTCCTTGACACCAGAACCTACAGTGCGGCTGACGTCACTGACCCATTAGCTTTCTACATGTAAGATAACAAGCCATCTAAGACCCCATCCAAGTCCACAGCGGCCTAGTCTCAGCTAGCCGATCAAAGTTGCAAGCGAAAATTTCACCGTCGCACGCACCTGGGGTGCATGCGACCTGTCGACGCCCAGCCGCTCTCCCCTCGCGGACGCGTAGCCACTCGCCCCGCAAGTTTTGCGCGTGGCGGCCGTCCCGCCGATCGGCGGCGGCGGCTCCTCCGCTGCCCGACAGCCGCCACGGGCTTCGTAGCCGGAGTCCTGGAGCTGTGGGAGGGATGACCGTCTCGCCGTCCTCATCCCGACGACACTACAGGTGGGTTTTTACTGGTAGGAACGAAGTGAACCAGCCTACAATAGATTATATCGTCCGTCCGTCCGATGTCCGATTAGGTGTAGCAACATCGCCCCCTACTGCAAACACTTGGCAGGACCCTACAAAAACCTTTAGACTCAGTGAGGCTTTCCTGGCTAAACAAGTGTAACATTCCCTTATAATTCCCTGAGATTGTTTTTAATTAAAACATTTAAATTAACAATTAACTCACAGCGGCCTAAAGCCTACAGCTAGGCCTAAAGCCTAGAACTAGGCCTCAAACTCTCCCTTCGTATCGTACCCCCGCCATTTCATTTTAATATAGCCATTCATTTGTTCGTTCCTACCAGCCCAGCCCGCAGGGACCTGTTAACTAGTGACACACGAAATGTAGTGTCGTGCATCTTTGCTTCGTTCTCTCGCTTCGAGGCTTGCGTGTGGCGTGCGTCGCACACACACGCTCAGTCGTAGAACGAGGTGATGGCAGGAGGCACCGTCTTCCCCCTTGGTTGCTGTCGAGTTCACGTCACCACTCGGGGCCCCCCCCCTCTCAGGACCACACCGCCGCACGACCCGTCCCAGACGCGACCTTGTCCTACGTTGCACCGACGGCATCGACCGCGACAGCCAACTACTGCCTGGCCACGCAGTGATCGGGCGAAAGCGGGAGCGACGAGAGCAGCGACGACGACAGCGACGACGACAAGTCCGTTCAATTCCCCCTTAATTAAAACATGCTTAAGCTCATTCTCAGCAAGTTTACAATGTTCTAATCGGCCGTATTCTCTCCACGCTGACTTCACCCTCCTGCAATGCCACGTTTGGGTACACTGCTCTCGATGAAACTAAAATCTATCTCGGCAGTCGGAGAGAGAGCGCCACCAGCAGCGCCACCGAGCAAGGGTGTCAGCTGCCAGCGGACAAGCGGCGAGCGCTGTCGAGGACCTTGAAAGACAAGCGTCGTGCCGACTGTGCTCATCCGGCAGGGGAGAGCGCCGTGGGTTTGACCCACACGCACCAGCCAGCACCAGCTGGGAACCAAGACAAGAGTGAGGAACGGCGACCAGCGGACAAGCCGCGGGTCGCTACTTGACGACGCAATCGTCGCGCCGATGATTCTCGCGCGCTAATTCTCTTTGTTGCTTGAAATTGTACTCGCTGTTGGGGGTACGTGTAGAGCGATCGTGCGTATCTTTGTGAGTCTTAACACACACACACTCAACACACACACACTCAACACACACTCAACACACACACACTCAACACTCACACATTCAACACACTCAACACACACTCAACACACACACACTCAACACACACTCAACACACACACACTCAACACTCACACACTCAACACACACTCACTCAACACTCACACACTCAACACACTCAACACACACACTCAACACACACACACACTCAACACACACTCAACACACACACACTCAACACACACACACACTCAACACACACACACTCAACACACACACACTCAACACACACTCAACACACTCAACCCCCCCCCCCCCCCTTTATCCCCCCTCCCCCGCAGCGAATCAGCGGTGAGGTGACGTCACCCAGGTGCAGCCCCTCCCCCTTTACCCCCCCCTCCCCTGGTCACACGGGAAGTGACGTCACCCCATGGGCTGCCCCTCCCCCTTATCCCCCCTCCCCTGGTCACACGGGAAGTGACGTCACCCCATGGGCTGCCCCTCCCCCTTATCCCCCCTCCCCTGGTCACACGGGAAGTGACGTCACCCAGGTGCTGCCCCTCCCCCTTCATCCCCCCCTCCCCTGGTCACACGGGAAGTGACGTCACCCAGGTGCTGCCCCTCCCCCTTCATCCCCCCTCCCCTGGTCACACGGGAAGTGACGTCACCCCAGGTGTTGCCCCTCCCCCTTTATCCCGCTCCCCTGGTCACACGGGAAGTGACGTCACCCCAGGTGCTGCCCCTCCCCCTTTATCCCCCCTCCCCTGGTCACACGGGAAGTGACGTCACCCCAGGGGCTGCCCCTCCCCCTTTATCCCCCCTCCCCCGCAGCGAATCAGCGGTGAGGTGACGTCACCCCAGGTGATGCCCCTCCCCTTTATCCCCCCGCAGCGAATCAGTGGTGCCATTCGTCACACCGGACGTGACGTCACCCAGGTGCTGCCCCTCCCCCCACCCTCCCCTGGTCACACGGGAAGTGACGTCACCAGGTGCTGCCCCTCCCCCCACCCTCCCCTGGTCACACGGGAAGTGACGTCACCCAGGTACTGCTCCTCCCCTTTATCCCCCTGGTCACACCGGAAGTGACGTCATCAGGCGCTGCCCCTCCCCCCACCCTCCTCTCTTAGCTTCGCGCCATTTCCCCTGCGGACGCAGTCGCTGAGAGGAGCCCCCTTAGACCCCCTTAGACCCCCTCGCAGACCCGCAGGGATCCCTTCGCGAGACCAGGGAACAACCCCCTCGCCACCACCACCACCACCCACAACAACAACAACAATCAGGGAGCCTTGCAAACAGCAGCAGCCTCCATCGCTGCTGAGACTGGAGAGCTCCCTTCTCTGAGGTGATCCTGAGGTGATTCAGGGACCCCCCGCCGCGAAAAGTGAACCCCCAAAATGAGGGGACTACTGCTACTACTAAGTCTGCTGCTGCTGCACACAGGGAGAGGCGAGGAACAGAGCAGCAAGTGTCAGGTAACGGGGCCTCTTACCCCCCAACGCATCCTCATGCCCCCTCACTCTGAGGTGATTTCGGTAGTCACCGTGTAGGTGAAACATTAAAGTTAATAAAATAAAATAAAAATTACGACGTTTAGGAGGAAAAAAAAGCTTCCGAAACGTCGTGATTTTTATTTTCGGTAAAGTCACGTTGGTAAAATATTAAAGTTAATAAAAATAAATAAAAATCACGACGTTTCGGATGACGGAAGCTTGTGTTGCCTCCGAAACGTGATTTTTATTTTATTTTACTTTTATTAATTTTATTTTATTAATCTCATACTCTCAGGTGCTTTCGGTAAAGTCACCGCGTAGGTAAAACATTAAAATTAATTAAAATATAATAAAAATCACGACGTTTCGGCGGCAACACAAGCCTCCGTCATCCGAAACGTCGTGATTTTTATTTTATTTTTTATTAATTTTTATTCTATTTTACTTTTATTAACTTTAATGTTTCACCTAGACGGTAACTTTACCGAAAACAGCAAAGAGTATGAGTCCTTGCAGTCACGAAAGCTTCAAATCTCGCATCCTTATCCCCTTCATCCCCTTTTCAAGATCGTTCGTCAGCAACCCACCCCCTTAGAAGCGCCCGCTCGCTCTCCACGCATCCCCCTCGTCCCCTTTTGCTGCCTATGGGGCCGTCCATAAATGACGTCACGCGATTTTTGACACCCCCCCCTCGTGACATGACGTCACAAAAGTCAGACCTCCCCCCCTCTCAATTATGACGTCATAAAACTCTGCCCCCCCCCTTGTCACATGACGTCACAAAAAGTCAGACCTCCCCCCCTCAATTATGACGTCATAAAGCTCTGCCCCCCCTTGTCACATGACGTCACAAAAAGTCAGACCTCCCCCTCTCAATTATGACGTCATAAAGCTCTGCCCCCCCTCGTCACATGACGTCACAAAAGTCAGACCTCCCCCCTCTCAATTATGACGTCATAAAAGTCTGCCCCCCCCTCGTCACATGACGTCACAAAAAGTCAGACCCCCCCCTCAATTATGACGTCATAAAGCTCTGCCCCCCCTCGTCACATGACGTCACAAAAGTCAGACCTCCCCCTCTCAATTATGACGTCATAAAACTCTGCCCCCCCTCGTCACATGACGTCACAAAAAGTCAGACCTCCCCCCCCTCTCAATTATGACGTCATAAAGCTCTGCCCCCCCCCCTCGTCACATGACGTCACAAAAAGTCAGACCCCCCCCTCAATTATGACGTCATAAAACTCTGCCCCCCTCGTGACATGACGTCACAAAAGTCAGACCCCCCCCTCTCAATTATGACGTCATAAAGCTCTGCCCCCCCCCCCTCGTGACATGACGTCACAAAAGTCAGACCCCCCCTCTCAATTATGACGTCATAAAGCTCTGCCCCCCCCCTCGTGACATGACGTCACAAAAGTCAGACCCCCCCTCTCTCAATTATGACGTCACAAAGCTCTGCCTCCCCCCCTCGTCACATGACGTCACAAAAAGTCAGACCTCCCCCCCTCAATTATGACGTCATAAAACTAATGTTTACAATCCTACTCATTGACATGTAAATGTTTTCCCTACCCCCTCCCTCTCTCTGCCTCCGCCCCCCTCTGTCTATTTAAGGCCTCGCCACAGAGACGATCACCCCTCTCTGTGCCTGTGTTGCTCTTTCTCTCTGTGTATCTTGGTGATGTCTGTCTGCTTATATGTCTGTCTATAGATTTATGGTTAGATTCTATGTCGCTATTTCATTATACCTGACGACGATTGCTTGTGTTGCAATCGAAACGTCGTATGCTATTTAATTTATTATTTTATCTATACACGTGACTTTACCGAAAGAACCAAAGAATAATTCCTGCAGTCACGAAAACTCCAAAAATTAAGATTGTCCCAACAGAGTCGCCGCGCCCCTGCCCCTCCGCCGCTTTGCCTCGCAGGGAAAGATGGAGCGCCAGCAGCAGGAGGAGGAGGAGGTGGAGGTGGTGGGCGTCGTCGGCGCTGCGGGGGAAGAGGGCGGCGTCGTCCTGTTCCAGCGGCAGCGCCGGCAGAAGCGCAACTGGCTCATCCCGGCAATCAGCGTCGCCGAAAACGACCGCGGTCCCTTCCCCAAGCATCTGGTTCAGGTAAAGGCCTCCCCCCTCCCCTCTTCCCTCCCCTCACCCCCTCTACCCCCAGAGCCGGCTCAGCCGCTAAGCGACCCTTGCGATTGCAAAGGGCCCCGTGGCCAGCAGAGGGCCCCCTAGAGTCACTGCTAGCGAGTGGGTGAAAAAAATGATACATCAAAGGGGCCTCCAACCAAATTTTGCTTAGGGCCATCAAAGGTCTAGGGCCGGTTCTGTCTACCCCCATAACCCTCCCCCGCCGGCGTTGAAGTTGACTAGCGCTGTCGCGGCGGTCGTGACGGCGGTGGCGGCAGTTCGGCGGTGGTGACGCGGCTCTCACCTCGCGGCAAGGAAGGTGGTCCTGGGTTCGATCCGTGCTGCCTACGTTTAACCCCCTGTTTCGGCAGTGTGTGAATGTCATGCGTTTGGTGAGTGTAAGGGTGAATGTGTGTGTGCATGTGGCTAAAACACAGCAAGTTGGTACAGTAGGGGGCACAGGTGGTGCATCAGCCAGTCATCTCGGTCATCTCGGTCAGTCGACCCGTGGCACCTGCTGGGTCTGCCCCGTGACCTCCTGCCAGCAGGTGTTCGACACTTCACGTGGCAGCCTCAAGGTGCACTTGGCCTGGCACAAGCGTCGTGGTGACGTCACCGCCACTTAGTGGCGAATGGCGGTTGTTGTTGTTGGGGTTTGTGGTGGTGTATTTAGCATGCCATACATCAGCATGCGATGTTTGTGTGTGTGTGTGTACGCATGTATATATGTTGGCGGAGCTGTTGCCAATTGGTTAGCACGCACTACGCTCTGATTTCCACTTACAGCTCACACGCAGTGACGGTGATCTGAACCTTGGTCTCAAATAAGTACCCGGTGCGATGTATAACCGTCTCCACTGGAGAGACAAAGGCGGCCGGGTGTGTTGGTAACTGCATATCACACCCCCTCGCGCGCCACGCCGGCCTTCATGTTTGCTGCTGCTTGCAAACTGCACTTGCCCCAGCAGTCTGTTGAAGGCTATCCGGGGTACCTTTGCGTACGTGTATCCACGCGATGTTCGAGCGTAGCTATCGTGTAGGTCAGGGCTCGGGAACCTTTTTGACTGGGAGAGCCGTAAAAGCCAAATATTTCTAAATATATTTCATTGAGAGCCATATAGTGTAATTTTTAACGAATAATAAATTAAATACCGATTTAAAGCTTTCGTGACTGCAGGGATTCATCTTCTTGGTTCTTTCTGTAAAGTAACGTAGAAGGGAAGTAATAAAATAATAAAAATAAAACATTTTATTTTATTATGTTTTATTTTATTATTTTATTACTTCCCTTCTACGTGACTTTAGCGAAAGAACCAAGAAGATAAATTAAATGTCTTACTTTTAATGCGACTTCTGGTGCCGCGTGGTTTTGCTGATGGCCTTGTGTAGTCTGGTTCGTACGACGTGGTGAGGTTGAGCTTCGTGCAGGCATTGAGGCCCCGTGCCCCGTGAAATTTATCTTCAAAACTTATTTCTGTTTACTTAACAATGACACGGTATTATTAATCAATATCACAAGTATTTTAAAATGAGTTCCAAACTGATTTTTGTATTTTTTTTTCAACTCAAAATTGTCTGGGAGCCATATGCCGTCACCAGAAGAGCCATATATGGCTCGCGAGCCACAGGTTCTCGACCGCTGGTGCAGAGCGTAACGCCGCCCCCTGCCGCCTCCCCTGCGCCTTCGCACGTGCGCCCCCACAGATAAAATCGAACGCGCACGGGAAAGTGCACTACAGCATCGTGGGGCCTGGCGCCGACCTGAACCCCATCGGGGTTTTCATCGTGGACTCCGTGACCGGGCGCCTCTCCGTCACCAAGACCCTGGACCGCGAGCTCGTCGCAGAGTATCTGGTGAGGCACGCACGCACGCACCACACACCCCCCGTGTGTGTTGGCGTAGCGAGGTCCAGGCCTCTATTGTGGAGTTTTACTGGTAGGAACAAAGTGAACCAGCCTACAATAGATTATATCGTCCGTCCGTCCGATGTCCGATTAGGTGTAGCAACATCGCCCCGCTACTGCAAACACTTGGCAGGACCCTACAAAAACCTTTAGACTCAGTGAGGCTTTCCTGGCTAAACAAGTGTAACATTCCCTTATAATTCCCTGAGATAGCTTTTTAATTAAAAAACCTTTAGACTCAGTGAGGCTTTCCTGGCTAAACAAGTGTAACATTCCCTTATAATTCCCTGAGATTGCTTTTAATTAAAACATTTAAATTAACAATTAACTCACAGCGGCCTAAAGCCTACAGCTAGGCCTAAAGCCTAGAACTAGGCCTCAAACTCTCCCTTCGTATCGTACCCCCGCCATTTCATTTTATTATAGCCATTCATTTGTTCGTTCCTACCAGCCCAGCCCGCAGGGACCTGTTCTCAAATGTCCTGTCCCCCGGGCCACTCGGTCAATGTCAACATTTCCGGGATGCAAGCCCCTCCCGCTACCTGGTGGCAAAAACATTAAATTCTCTAAGTACCAATATTACTCAATTATATTCATATTACCGCGACATTAAAAGAACCTTAACGCGGCTAGAACGGTTTTGTTTTTTTTTCGCGGAGAATTTAGATCTCGGGGTTCGGGTAATTCAATCGGGGCGGTTTACCTAATTTCATTTACAATTTTCAATATCACGAGTAAAATATTAACGTCCGAAACAAAAGGCGTCAACGTTTGCGGATCAACCTGCAATCGGCTTCGCAGCCCAGCTGACCTCCAGGAGTACCGTCGCGGTTCGTCGGTGGTCCAGGTACTACTCTCAGAGAACCACTACGTTGTGTGTGTGTTGCGTGTATGTTGCGTGTGCGTTGCGTGTGCGTTGCGTGTGCGTTGCGTGTGCGTTGCGCGTGTGTTGCGTGTGCGTTGCGTGTGTGTTGCGTGCCCGCTGCAGCTGAAGGGCCACGCGGTGGATGTGAACGGGCATCCTGTGGAGAATCCCGTAGATCTCCTCATTAAAGTGATCGACCTCAACGACAACAGGCCCAACTTCGACGCGACCGTGTTCCAGGGCTCCGTGGATGAGGGCTCCCCACCAGGTGCGGCGTGCGGACGGGCACAGACGGGCGCGGCGGTGACGGGGGTGTGATAGTGACAGCACCTGCCTGGGTGTTTTGTAACAACGGACACTTCCACCCCCACAACTCTCAATTGGTGATAGGGCAGTTGTGGAGAGAGTGGAGAGCTTACCATACCTGGGCAGTGTGCTCATGACCAGCTCCGGTTTGACTCCACTCTCACAACTCTCAATTGGTGATAGGGCAGTTGTGGAGAGAGTGGAGAGTTTCTCATACCTGGGCAGTGTGCTCATGACCAGCTCCGGTTTGACTCCACTCCCACAACTCTCAATTGGTGATAGGGCAGTTGTGGAGAGAGTGGAGAGCTTACCCATACCTGGGCAATGTGCTCATGACCAGCTCCGGTTTGACAGCAGAGGTCTCGCTCTGAATCAGTCGAGCGGCATTATCTTTTCATCGGTTGCGTAACGCTGTGTGGTAGCTACCTGGTCTGTTGCGCCGCACGAAGCTTCAGGTCTTCTCGGACACAGTCATTCCCTCCCTTCTCTACGCTTGCGAAACGTGGACCCCCCTAATGGAACATCTTCGCCGGTTGGAAACATTTAGGCTTGCCTGCCTACGATTCATCCTGGGTTTGACCAGGCTGGATTGTGTGAGGAGCTCACGTATCCTTGAAAGATCTGGACAAAGTCCCATCCGTGAGCTCCTCCGGCATATGGCTGGGTCATGTAGCCCGCATGCCCAGTTACCGCATGCCGAAACAGCTTTTGTTTGGCCGGATCGAGGGGGCTAAACGGGCGCGGCACGGGCTAGAGAAGAGATGGAGTGAATATAATGTTTGTTCTTTAGAGTCACCATGTCCACGCATCCCTCCCTGCCCTCCCTCCCCCGGCAGGCACGCCAGTGATGACGGTAACGGCGAGTGACAAGGACGACGCCTTATCGGCCAACGGCATGATCCGCTACAGGATCTTGTCGCAGATTCCCAAGGTGCCCGTGGACCGCCTGTTCACCATCGACAACACCACAGGCGTCATCAGCACCATCGCCGCCGGGCTGGACCGCGAGGTGGGTCGTTGTCCCGCGGTAACCGCCGCCGATTGGCCGATGTCGGTCCGGGGGGTGGTGGCTAATCTCTGGGGTTGTGTGTACGGTGTTACACTCGTGTTGTCGGTGTGTATATGCACGTACGTTGAGCGTCTGTCGCGCACCGTACGTCGTAGACGACCGCGCTGAACGGAGGTGCGAGGGAAGGGCGACAGGCTTAACACGAAAAGCGGATCTGAAGAAACGAGTTTTCAGCTGCAGTGGCTTCTTAATTCTAAAGCTTTCGTGACTGCGGGGATTCATCTTCTTGGTTCTTTCGGTAAAGTCACGTAGAAGGGAAATAATAATAGAAATAATATAAATATTAAACAATGTAAATTCTCACGACGTTTCGACTGCAACACAAGCAGCAATCGTCATCAGGTGCGAAATCCACAGCAAGACAATTTGAAAAAAGTGACGGTTTTTACAATCGTGATTTGAAGCTTCCGTGGCTGCAGGAATCCATACTCTTTGGTTCATTCGGTAAAGTCACGTGGGTAGAAAATTACCAATATTTAAAAATGAAAGGTTCAGCAGTTCCACTGCTGAATTATTATTTTCCACCCGAGGACGACCGCTTGTGTTGGGATCGAAACGTCGTGACATTATTCTTATTTTGTTTTCTAAAGAACCAAAGAGTATATTATATACATTTTATTATTCATCATTGATCAGTTCTAGATTTTAAGCTTTCGTGACTGCAAGGATTCATATGCTTAGGTTTTTTCGGTAAAGTCACGTGACTTTACTGAAAAAACCTAAGAATATGGCTTCTTAATGTTGTGTGCCGCGCGTATCGGAAGCGACGGTGTCGCGGCCAGCGCGCTCCGCTACGAACCCGGGCACCCGAGTTCGATTCGACACTGGTGACGGTCGACTCGGCCTCAAACGAGTAGCTGCTGCAGCGTGCAAACATCCCCACTGGGGAGACAAAGGCGGCCGGGCGTGGTGCTGGCCACCCGCCTCCTCCTCGTGCGACGTGCCGGCCTTCCGCAGTTGCCGCTCGCTTAACGGCGCTTGCCCCAACAAAGTTCTGTTGAGGCTACACGAGGAATCCTTGTCCTCGTTTGTTGATCTTTAAGGGGTGTGTCTGTGTGCCCCGTCGATGTAGCGAACGCCGCAGTACATGCTGGTGGTGCAGGCCTCGGACATGGAGGGTGACCCGGACATTGGCCTCAAGAACATGGCCACCGCCATCGTCACCGTCGCCGACAAAAACGACAATCCCCCGAGTTTACGGGCATAACCGTACGCACCGCGCCACCACACTCACCGTGCCACCACACTCACCGTGCCACCACGCTCACCGCGCCACCACGCTCACCGTGCCACCACACGCACCGTGCCACCACACTCACCGCGCCACCACACTCACCGTGCCACCACACGCACCGTGCCACCACACGCACCGTGCCACCACACTCACCGCGCCACCACACTCACCGTGCCACCACACGCACCGTGCCACCACACTCACCGTGCCACCACACATAGCTCCGTGTGGGGCCTTACCTGGTCAAATATTTATTCTAGATTTGAAGCTTTCGTGACTGCAATGCTTCATATTCTTAGGTTTTTTCGGTAAAGTCACCTTGTAGGTAAAAACATTAAAAAGTAAAATAAAATAAAAATCACGACGTTTGTGTGTTGCCTCCGAAACGTCGTGATTTTTTTATTTTATTTTACTTTTTAATGTTTTTACCGACACGGTGACTTTACCGAAAAAACCTAAGAATATAAATATTTATTATATTTTTGAGGCTAGCGGAACAATGACCTGACGACGCCCCCCCCCCCGTCACCGTCTCCGTCACAGTTCCGCGGCACGGCGCGCGAGAACGCGGTGAACGTGACGGTGACGACGCTGACGGTGACGGACACGGACGAGCCCGGCACGCCGGCGTGGCGGGCCCGCTACGTGGTGCGCGGCGGGGACCCCGGCAAGAACTTCGCCGTGGAGACCGACCCCCGCACCAACGACGGCAGGCTCTACGTCGTCAAGGTTAGGGGCGCGGTGGTGGGGGGAGGGGGGGGTCTGTCGCACACACTGCCGTGGCGGAGACGGTGATGGTGGTCGGGTAGTGACAGTGGTGATGGTGAGGTCGTGGTGGTGATGATATGGTGGTCATGGTGATGGGGTAACGTAGGTGATGAGGATGATGATGGGGTAGTGGTGGTGGTGGTGGTGGTGATAATATGAGGTGGTAATGGGGCAGTGGTGATGGTGATGATGATGGAGTAGTGGTGGCGATGATGGGGGTAGTGATGGTAATGGTCGTGGTGGCGGGGGAGGGTGATGCGGTGATAATGGTGATGGGAGTGGCGTCGCAATGTTGTTGATTGGGTGGCGATGGGGGAGAGGTGGCGTGGTGGTGGTGGTGATGCGTTGACAGGGTAGTGATGGTGAATGGGGTGGCTGATGGTGAAGCGAGGTTGACATGGCGATGGTGGTGATGGTCGCGTGATGACGATGATGATGATGATATTCTTAGGTTTTTTCGGTAAAGTCACCAGGTAGGTAAAAAACATTAAAAAGTAAAATAAAAAAATCACGACGTTTCGGAGGCAACACAAGCTTCCGTCTTCAGGTGGAACCGTCACAGCCACGACAGCCGTATCAAGTAAATGAGAGATTGCAGGAGCTACCACTCCGTTTATATAATGGTTGGAGAAAGTGGTGGGGCAAGGGCCGCATACTTACCATATTAATAAAAAGTATGCGGCCCTTGCCCCACCCCCTTCTCCAACCATTATATAAACGGAGTGGTAGCTCCTGCAATCTCTCATTTACTTGATACGGCTGTCGTGGCTGTGACGGTACCACCTGAAGACGGAAGCTTGTGTTGCCTCCGAAACGTCGTGATTTTTATTTTATTTTACTTTTTTATGTTTTTACCTACACGGTGACTTTACCGAAAAAACCTAAGAATATGAATCATTGCAGTCACGAAAGCTTCAAATCTATAAGAAGATGACGATGATAGTGATGGGGAGGTGGCAAGGCGAACTTCGTGGTGATGTTGCCGATGGGTGACGGCGGTTATGACGTGGGGACGGTGGTGGTGGTGGTGGTGGTGGCGACGGTGGCTGTCACGTGACTGGCGTTGCTGGTGACTGTGCAGCGGTCGTGGCGATGTTGGTGGCGATGACGCAGCGTTTGATTGTTGGGAGGGTAACGTTTGCGTGGTGTGTGTACGACCGCAGCCCCTGGACTTTGAGACCTCGTCGGTGTACAAGCTCGTCGTCGCCGCGGAGAACGAGGTTTCGCTTGAGAGCGCGCAGTTCGGACCGGCGAGCACCGCCACCGTCACCGTGAGTGCCCGTCACTTTGCGGCCCAGATGTTTAGTCCTCGCACCAGCGCAGAAACTGACACCACCTCAGACAGCAAAACTTTAGTCGTACCCATTTATTAGTCTAACACGTAGCAGGCTTTCGCGACCAATATTATTCACGATCAACGTGTTTGGGTTTAGATCGCCGCGTTATTTATAAATGTGTCGTAACCCTCCACCACCCGACACGGCCAATCAGTAAAAACGTGTCACGTTGACAAAAGACAAAATAGTTCACTGCTTTAGCCCCCACACCGGTGTGTTGAAGCCACAACGTTTACAATTTGAGTAGCGCTGTGACGTTTCGCTGGTAATTGCATCCAGCATCATCATCGCGCAATTCGCCAGAATGTTGAGGGGCTCTGCTGTGTCTCCCGTTCTTATATAGAGCAGCAGCAGCAGCAGGGTGACGTCATCGTTAACTCAAATTGTAAATGTTGTGGCTTCAACACACCGGTGGGGGCTAAAGCAGTGAACTAATTTGTCTTTTGTCAACGTGACACTTTTAAACCGATTGGCCGTGTCGGGTGGTGGAGGGTTACGACACATTTATAAATAACGCGGTGATCTAAACCCAAAAATGTTGATTGTGAATACCCATTTATTATTGATAATTTCCTCGGGCCAATGAGAGCGAATAACTCAAACGCCCCGATATTTAACTTGTTTCAAGTCCAGTAGACCTTTCTATCGCAATCGGTCCTGGGCCTCCCCCTAGGTCATCTCAGCCTGAAATGAGTACCTGGTGCGGTGTGTGAGCATAGCCACCGGGTGTTGACAAAGGTCGGCCGGGCGCAGTGCCGGCCACCCGCCCCCCCGACCTTCGTACAGGTGCTGCTCGCTCGCAGCACTCGTCCCCCCAACAGTCTGTCAGGGCGACACGCGGGGATCTCTCGTGACGGCCACACCACCTCCCGCACGACCGCCCGCCCCGTGCCCCCCCCCCCCCCCACTACCTTAACAGGCGCTCGCTAACAGCCCCTCGCCCCCCCCGCCCCCCGGTAGGTGACGGTGGAAGATGAGAACGAGGGGCCGGTGTTCGAGCCGCTGCTGAGCGAGGTGAAGCTTCCCGAGGGCCTCCCCGTGGGCCAGCGCGTGACCACCCTGGTGGCCCGCGACCCCGACACGGCGCAGAGGCAGGCCGTGCGGTGAGGCCTTCCCAGCAGGGGCGGTTTCTTCATTAGGGCGATTGGGCGACGCACCACCAATGTCATTCAACCACAGAGTCACGCTAGCCGTCACTGTGCCTCTGGATATAGTCCAATCAGCGTCATGTCACGTTCTGTGGAGTACCGCCTCTTTTTGGGCGATTTCACTCCGGCTGAGAATCGCCCCGAGTGTTCCCATAGACTTACATTCAAAGATGTTTTTTTTCGAACGGGGGCGCTGCAATGCATTCTCTACGGCTTCCGGGAGGGCTCGCACTAACGTGCTTACGTCATCATACGTAAGCACGTTTCATCCAACAATATAATTTGTCGCCACCTAGTGGAATCTTTAACAAAAGAAACTTGAGTGTATTGTATTAATAGTGAGTATAGAAACAAACAAGATGTATTGTAAGTCACTTTATTTTTCATTAATATTAATAAAGAAGTGAAGTTGCCTTTACATGCTTAAGCTGTTAATTTATCCATTGCATGGGTGGACCTTATCCTTATCAATCATCCAGACATTTGCCCCCCCCTGAGAGATTTTGCAGGAGCCGCCACTGTTTCCCAACCGTCCACTCCCGTCCGCTCCCGTCGCCGCCCCGGCCAGCCAACCCATCCTCCCACCCTCCGTGTCTGTGTGTGTGTGCGACTCACTCTCTGTTCGGCTGTGTGACACTCAGCTGTGTGAATCGCCTGTGTGAACTCTGTTCAGCCGAGTGACTCACCTCTTGTGTGCGACTCACTCTCTGTTCGGCTGTGTGACACTCAGCTGTGTGAATCGACTGTGTGAATTCTGTTCGGCCGAGCGACTCACCTCTTGTGTGCGACTCACTCTCTGTTCGGCTGTGTGACACTCAGCTGTGTGAATCGGCTGTGTGAATTCTGTTCGGCCGAGCGACTCACCTCTCTGTGTGCGACTCAATTCTGTTGACCTGTGCGAGACTCAGGTGCGCGCGCCTCACCTGTGCGTGCGTGTGGCTGCGCGATCGGTGCCGCGTGCAGCTACACGAAGCTTTGGGTGCCGGGCGACTGGCTGGACATCGACCCCGTGAGCGGCCAGGTGACCACCGCCGTGGTGCTTGACCGCGAGGCGGCCGCCCTGGTGCACGCCAACACCTACACGGCCACCTTCCTGGCCACGGATGACGGTGAGAGCTGCCCCCCCTCCCCACCGCGTGCCGTGCCGGCCTTCGCAGGTGCCGCTCGCACGCACGACGGCGCTTCGCCTCACCCGACGGCGCTTTGTAGAAGGCCGCTGACGAGTGCCGGGGGGTCTCTGTCGTCTCCGCGTGCCGGCGGGAGCAGGCAGCCCCGTCGCGAGCGGCACGGGGACGCTGGCGCTGCGGCTGTCGGACATCAACGACAACGCTCCGGTCGTCTGGCCCGACGAGGCCACCGCGTGCGGCGTGCCGGGCGGCGCCGCGGTCAACGTCACCGCCAGGGACGCCGACGAAGACTTCAACGGCAGCCCCTTCGGTTTCCGGCTGCCGCCCGGCAACCCCGCCCTCAACAACAACTGGACCGTCCACCGGCTCGACGGTGCGTGGTCACCACCCCCGCCCCGCCCCCCGTTGCCCGTGCTGCCCTTGAACTGCACCACCCGCACCCGTTCGCTTGCTCGCGATCGCGCGGCAATCGCTCGCTCGCCATCACGTCCTACGCTTGCACCGCCGCTCCCTGCCCGCTCTGCCCCCGCCTTGCTGCCGTTGGCCTGCGTTGTCAGCAGAGGAGGGCGGTGCAGCGTTGCACCTGCGACATGTCATCGTCCTTGCCCAGCCCACCGGTACCAAAGTAACTGAACGAGTGGTCCGTTTTTGTCAATCTGTACCCCGCGACTCATGGACAAGATCTTCTTGGTTCTTTCGGTAAAGTCGTCACGTAGAAGGGAAGTAATAAAATAATTCTCACGACGTTTCGGCCACAACGCAAGCAGCCGTCCTCAGGTGATTCAGACGCTGTCTCCCCGACAGACCTGGTCTTCACCTGAGGACGGCTGCTTGCGTTGTGGCCGAAACGTCGTGAAAATGATGTTATTATGTTTTATTTTTATTGTTTTATTATTATTTCCCTTCTACGTGACGACTTTACCGAAAGAACCAAGAAGATGAATCCCTGCAGTCACGAAAGAAGCTTTAAATTGAAATTCATCGACGAGAGTTGAGAAAATGTTTGCCGCCCCGACTCTTCGGATTCCTTCGGCGGTTTCCGAATGAGCGGCTGGTCGGGGCGTGGCCGAGAGCCGCGTCGTCATATTTTGTTTCCGGCAATGCGTACGCCGCCACGGGTTCCGCTTCACGCTCGCCGCTCGCACCGCGCTCTGCTCCCTACCCCCCCTCCCCTCCCGGCCGGCCTACAGGCAGCAGCTCGCGGCTGCGCGCGAGGGTTGCGCTGCCCGAGGGCATCTACTCGGTGCCGCTGCTCATCTCGGACTCGGGCTACCCCCCGGCTAGCGCCCTGTCGGAGCTCCGGTTGACGGTGTGCGCATGCGACCGGAACGGCGACTGCGTCGACCGCGTCGACCGCGCCGCCGGCGCCGGCCTCGGCATCGGCGCCGTCGCGTCCATCATCCTCAGCCTGCTGCTGCTGCTGCTGCTGCTCGGTGAGTCGTCGGCTTCGTCGGGGGGACCCGGTGCCGCGGACGTGGCCCCCCGGCACGGGGATCTGCGCGGCGCGATCGCCGTTGGTCGACGGAGGCTTTCGTGGTTTTTAACGGGGCGTGCTGTCCCGGCGTGCAGTCGTGGCGCTGCTCTCCGCGGTGCACAAGAGACGCCGCGGGCGGGACCTCGTCGCCAAGCGGCCGTTCTTCGACCACGACGTGCTGGACAACGTCTTCAACTACGACGAGGAGGGCGGGGGGGAGGAGGACCGGGGGTGAGAGGCGGCACGCCGCTCCACACACGACGCGCGGCGCGCTCGCGCGGCTAGGCGGTTCGTTTAGGCGGTGCGACGGTGCGGTGCGCCGGTGCGGTGAGACGGCGGCGGCGGCACGGCGAGTTTGTGGTGCGGCGAGACGGTGATGCGGGTTGGGGACAGTAGCGCCGTTTGACTGTCCAGCGAGAGACTCTCTCGCGGCGGCGGCGGTGCCTACGTGTTCCACAGCGCCGGCGCGGTGAAAAAACGGCGCGGTGAGCCGGCGTGACGGTGCGGTATTGCGTTCGCGGCGGCGGCAGGACTACGACCCCGGCGCAGGACTGCAGCTCCGTGAGCGAGCTGGCTTGCGACTCGGGGCGCCGTACCTCAGGGCCCGGCGTCGTGCACCACGCCGGACGAGTGGCCGTTGGTGGCCGGAGCCGTGCCACCCGTCCCGCCTCGGGTGGCAACCGGCAGCCCCAGTGTACATGGGCGACCTTCATCACGAGGTGGGTGGTGACAGGGGGGGGGGGGGAGAGGTGGCAAACGGTCGCACGGGAACGCAGGGGATGGAACCGCACACGACCGAACCCAGCGCCCGCGCAACAGTGGAACCCGCCGCCGCCATCGCCACCAACCATCACACACAGTTCACTGCCATCACCATTACCAACCATCACTTGCCATCACCACGGGCCATCACGCACACCAACCAGCACCATCATCACTGCCATCACCACACCATCACCATCATCACTGCCATCACCATCACCACCATCACCACCATCACCATCATCACTGCCATCACCACCATCACCACCATCACCACCATCACCATCATCACTGCCATCACCACCACCATCAGCATCACCACCACCATCACCACCACCATCACCATCATCACTGCCATCACCACCATCACCACCACCACCATCACCACCAATACTCACCTTCAGTAGTAATCTCAGCTACCACCATCACCAGAAATGAATCCACACGAGTCAATATGCTAATGAGCACTCGTCCCTCCCACCCACCTCATACACACACACAAGACAAAGATCCCCCGTGTAGCCTTAACAGACTGTAGGGGCAAGTGCTGTTAGCGAGTAGCACCTATGAAGGCCGGCACGGCACACGAGGGGGTGGGTGGCCAGCACCACACCCGACACCTTTGTCTCCCCAGTGGCGATGTTTACACACCGCACCAGGTACTCACTTGAGGCTGAGTCTACCTAGGGGAGGCCCAGGACCGGTTCAAATAATCGTCACTGACGGTG